AATTAATTTTCTTTATTATTTGGTCTTCTTCCTTTTTTTGCTCCTTTTAATTTTGTTTATCATTTTTATTGATGAGTTTTCAATTTTTTTTTTGCCATATCTTTTAATAATAGAATGAAAAAATTTTTTAATTGAAATTAATTTTTTAATTACATGAATTATATGTACAGCAAAGGATATTCGAATTATTATTGCTATTTTTAAATTAATTAAATTTTTCTGTCAATCATTTTATTTCCTTCTTCTTTTTGCCTTTTTTTTTTTTTGTTCCTTATATTATTAATCTTTTAATTAGTCTAATAAATTGAATAAGCTTAATTTCCAACCAAAAACTGTACCTTTTTCTTAATTTAATTAAACTTTTCATATCCTCAAAATTAATTTGATATTTTTTTGAAAATATTTGCACATAATAGTTTTATATTAAAATGGAATAATTATATTCGTATGTTCCTTTAAAGCAATTATTGATTTTGCTGATACAAGCTTAGAGAAAAGCTTATTTGTAATTAATTTAGCAAGTAGATGTGTCATGCAAGATGACAAGCACAAAGCATTTGAGTGTCTCTGTTAATGACAACCAATCAGCCATTCATTCGTCTATCTATCCTCCATACTAATCATGCTAATTAATCGAGAAGAAAATTCAGAAATATATGGAAAATAAATTTTGAATAATTAAATTGCAAGCATTCATTAAGGTTAAAGTTGGATTTGCTTTTGAATAACAAATGATAAAATACAATAGTGTATAATGAAGCTATAATTAATTGTAATTAATAGAGTTATAATCAATTCCTATAAATTTTCAATTATTATTTCTCATTATCAATCCCTTTTTCTATTAAAATTTTAATAGTAATGAAACAACTTTCAATCGTTTTCTTTCTTTCCAATTCTTGAATATCTTATTCTATTTCACAATTAAATTTCAAAAAAAAAAAATTCATTTTAATTGAACTTTGCTCTTTGGCAAATTCCCTTCGACATACTCTTTTATTAATTTCACAATAAGTGATTAATTTCAAGTAAACAAATTATAGATGGTAGATTTAGTTTGATTTACTTCCACAACTATTTAAAATTTCTTTCACAATAATGTTTATTACAAACTAATTAGTTTTAACTTAAATTTCAATTTTAATTGTGATAATATTTATGATATGATAATACATATTATATTTACAAGACAATATGTAATGATAGATAATTTGCATAATTTATTGTATTATTTATCGGCAAGACTGTTAATTTCATAATGATAATTGATGAAGATTTTCATTGTTCAATTGATAAACCGAAATATGACAAATGTGTCACCACCTATCTCTTTTCTTCCCCTTCATTGAAAAATATGATAATTCATGAGTGGATTTAATGAAATAAGTTTTCCGCTTGAGCAAAACTTATTCCAATCAAATTCCAATTGGAATTAATAATTAGAACTAATATCCATATTATCATATCGATCTAATTAAGAATTCAACATTTGTAAATCATTAATTTAAAAAAAAAAAGGAAAAGAAAAGAAACTTACAAAAACCAAATATTTGCTATGATAACTATTCGAAATGATGCAAATTACAATTGAATTAAATGAAAATTTGCGTCATTTATGGCATACAAATAAAATTTCAAAAAAAAAAAGTATCGAAGAGAAAAAAAACAAATTATTCAAATTTAATGCTTTTAAACTATCAAAAAAAAAAAATAGCAAAAGCATTGGAAATGGGCAATTTCCGATTTTTTTTTATAATTCCTTTTAGTTGATCGTTAAAAGAAATAAAATTGAAATTTAGTTTTGGCAAAATTAGTCCCTTCAAAAAAAAAAAGCTTAACCGGAAATGAATTTAAATTGTCAAATATCCTTTCTTCTTTTTCTCGTTTTTTTTTTTCTAAATCATTAAATGAAAATTTTATTTTCTTTTTCCATTTAATCAATGATAACAGTGTAAGTTTTTTTTTAAGCTTTTTGTATACAATTAATTATCTTAATTATCTTTGTAATTAATTATCTTTGTAAAGGAGGTGACAAGTTTTTTCCGCGCATACAACAAACAAAGAATTTGCCAATTGCGCCAGCAATTTGAAATGAAATAGTATTCCATAAACAGTCATATTCAATATTTCCATAGCATTTATTAAATTGGTGGAAAAGCATTTAGATGACCACTGATTGGACATTCTGATAGTATTAATTAGAGCAGGAAAAAATCACCAAATGACCATTTGTTTGGATATTCTGCTCGTATTAAGTAAATTAGAATAAAATTACCAGATGACCGTTAGGTTAGGATATTTTGCTAGTATTAACTAAATTAGAATGAAATCATCAAATGACTATTTTGCTTTTGGATATTTTAGTAATTGTTAACTAAATCATCAGGAAGGGAAATATCATCAGATGACATTTGTTTGGACATTTCTTGAAGAGTTAAGGAAAAAAAAATCAATGAAAGAATGTTACAAACTAATTTTGTCACCATCAAATGTCCATCATTTTTCTCCACTGTCCTTTAATTCCAAATGGTTAATGCATAAAAAGAAAAAAAAAGAGAAAATTTATCCTAAAAATATCAATTATAAAAGAAAATTTTGTTTGCAAATGTAATTTCTTCTACTGGTCAATTGTCCTTATGTCCATTCTTTTTCATTCATCGCTACTCTTTTATTTTTGTCCATTCTCTTGTCCATTCTTATCAATTGCTATCAACCATTTATACAATATGTATAATTTATGTTTAATTTTGTTAAAATTAATAGAAATGATAAAATTTGATCATTGTTTCATTGAAATTATCAGCTGGCGCTAAATGATCAATTTCGTTTTTCATCATCAAATAATTGGAGCGGGATAAAGCGGGGCGGGAGATCGGAAAAGATGGAAGGAATGGCGGGGGTAAAAAAGAAAAAAGAAAAAGGGAAAAAGATGGCGGTGAATGAATGAATGCACAAAATGTCACCCAATTTTTAGCATTTAATACATTCACCAGCTGTGCGCTACTGGATGACAATTCGGCATTATCATCTAAATTTAAATCTTGACAATTTTTTTTTAATTTAACAAAATGAAGAAAGGGAGGAAATTTTCATTTTTAGTTTTATTAATAGTTATCGAAATATTTTAAATAAAATTTTAATAAAAAGTCATAAATTTAATAGAAATTTGATTTCATTTAAATTTATTATTGTTAAATTTAATTTCAGAATTAAATGATACTGGGATTGAAAAATTGTCAAAATTAGCAAATTAAAAGAAAAGGAATGAAATGAAATGAGTCATTTATTTCTAGAATTTATTCTATTTATATTAAATTTAATTTCATTCAAATTTATTATTGCTAAATTTAATTTCAGAATTAAATGATATTGGAATTGAAAAATTGTCAAAATTAGCAAATTAAAAGAAAAGGAATGAAATGAAATGAATCATTTATTTCTAGAATTTATTCTATTTATATTTTAAAACTGAGTAATATTTTAAATGATTTATTTATAGCTTTAAAAGAAAGCCATAATTTTAATCTTATCAACAATAAGCAGTTACAAAAAAAAAAAAGCAATGATAACTAGCAATAATTAACAAAAAGTAAAATGAAATTATATTTCAATCATTCATTTATTACTTTTTAATGGAATAATAATAACAATTAGCAATAATTAATAGCTAAAAAAATAACAATAATTAGCAAAAATTAGTAATTGACTAAAAAAAGAAAAAAAGCAGCATTAATTTGGATAAATTTATCAAATTCCCAACTAATTTATTAAAATATTAACAAAATCATAATTACTAATCATGATTACTTTCATCTTTCTCCAATCATTTTTATTTTGTTTTGTTCTTTTTTTCCTCTCTCTCTTTTACTTGATAATGATTTGATAAGAAGTTTTCTTACCTTTCCTTTTCCTTCCTTATCATTCCTCTTCCTTTTGCATTCCTCTTTCTCTTTCATTCCTCTTCCTCTTCCTCTTCCTTTTCCATCTGATATTATTTGAAATGGATTTTGTTATAGAATGATGAAGCTTATATCGTCAATTCATGCGAATATTAGAGCAATCTTTTGCTTCACATTGTCATTAGCGCCAATCGCCGCCATTCTTCACCGTGATATTAGCGCCAACCTCTTGCTATTCTTCACATTACCATTAGCGCCAACCGTTGCTATCCTTCACATTGTCATCTAGTACCAACCGCTGCTATTCTTCACAGTGATATGAGCGCCAACCGCCGCTATCCTTTACATTACCATTAGCGCCAACTGCCACTATCATTAATACATAATTAAAAATATTCATATTTCTATTGCTAACAAACAGATAAGCCTTTTCTTTCAATTCCAATAAAAATTGACAATTTATTATTTTCTTCTCACATTTCTTCCTTTCATTTATTTATTTATTTATTTATTCTTTTCTTCATAGCGCTTTTTTTTTAACCATTTAAGAAATAAAAAACGAAACAGAAAGTTTTAAATTTAAAACTTAAAATACTTTTAATTGTACTCGGAAATATTTTACGTTTTAAATCTTAAATGGAATTTGAATCAAACTAAATCATGTAAAGAAATCAAAATAATTTCTTCGATTGAATAAATAAATGATTTAGCAAATGTCTTCTTTTTTCTTTCATTTTGACTGAAATTATCCTAAAAATCTTAATTTCAAAAATTCAACAATTAAAATTTTTTATCGAAAAAGACAAAAAAGTAAAAGAAAAAACGAATTGAATGGTATATTATTCGTTTTCGCTTTTTTACGCTTTTTTTTTTTTCAATGAAATATTGAAATTTGTACTAACTGCATTTTTTAATTTATGAATTTTAATTTTAATTTTATAAGGAAGCCCTAATATTTTATTGAAATTTAACAAATTAAAAATTTGATAATGCAAACAGAAAATTATCGAACATTTTTTTTCGGCGCTATTGAATCTTTTCATTTGTAAAGTTTTCATACGAAGTTTCAACTTTTCGTTAAAATTTAATAAAACCAAGGAGAAAAATTAAATGCAAATGGGAAATTACCAAACATTTTGTTGTAAAATTTTCATGAGAAGTTCTAACTTTTTATTAAAATTTAATAAATCAAAAATTTTCGACAATTTCTTTTTAATGCTATTAAATTTTTGATTGATAAAATTGATTTTCCTTTTTTCTTTTTTCTTTTTGAATTTTTCGAATTGTTAAATCAATCATTTCATATATTCCATTCGTAATATTCTTAGTTTACTTTAGTTTTTTTCCCGTTTTTTTTTTTTTTGAAAATAGTAGTTATGTTTGTCTATTTCTGTTTGTTCATCGTTCTCGAATAATTTCGAAATGCTTTTGAGGATTAAAAAAAAATCTTTTGACAAATTAAACAATTAAACAACTAACAAACGAACTGTCATCGCTCAATGATTGGTCGTTTTATCATTTTGCTTTTTCTTTTTTTAAATTTTTAAAATTATTCAAATTTTCTCATTCTTGATTGATTTAAATATGCGTGCAAAGATGTTGGAAATGATTGGAATAACAAACGGATAGATTAAATAGTTGCCGGATTTATTTTTTCTTTTCCGTCTAATTTTATGTCCTTTTTTTCATTCCGATATTGAAATTAAACAGTTACTCGATTTATACCTTTTCCGTTTTCCATTTTTGTTTTTTTTTTTCTGATATTGACTAAAACGGTTGACGGAAAAAGGATGAAATCTTTTTCCGTCCTCTTTCTTTCTGCAATTAACATTTTTTCGTTTTTCTTTTTCTTTTTCCTCAATCAAATTCATCTGAAATATATCTTTCATATTTTCTGGAAAATAATATAAATATTTCATAAAAATTCATTTTTAAATTTAAGAAATTTTCTTGTTTTGTTTTTTTTCACCAAGAAATTAATAAATTAAAAAAAAAGTAAGAAAATTAATTGAATTTAATTTTGTACTTCTATTATTATATACTGCTTACTAATTCTTCCTATTTATTAATTAATTAATTATTTAATTTTTAATTTATATTTTCAATAATGCAACACGTATTTCTTTTTCCCTAAAAGTTTGTATTTTACATTTGATGTATGTCTTTTTTTGCAAAATTTTATATACCCAATAATAGCACCACTAAATTCGTAACATCACATGACAATCACTTATGTCGATCACTCACATGACAATTTACTTATGTCGGTCATTCACGTGACAATCACTTATGTCATTTATTCACATGACAATTACTTATGTTAGTCGTTGATGTGACAATCATTTGCCACTCACTTTAATCGTTTATTTACGTTCTAAAACTGATATGAGAGAATGATTACCTTTAAATTCATCATTTTTTTATCAATACGAACGAAATTCTCTTAAATTTTAATACTAATCAAATTACGAAAGTACACGGAAAATGAGTGGAATAAGAATTTAATTTTATCAATTTATTTCCACGCAAAATAACATTTGGAAAAGGTGACAATCGTAAACACAATTTGTTAATTATTTGACCTTAAGCGAAAAAAAAAGAAAAAAGTGATAATTTTGAAATCCTTAAAAAAACCCATATAACTGATAATTTCAAATTTTTAAAAAGTCTCATATCAATGACAATTTTGAGATCTTTAAAAAAGCTCACGTTAGTGATAATTTCGAAATTTTTTTGAAAAAGCTCATATCAGTGATAATTCTGAAGCCCATATCACTGATAATTTCGAAATTTTTAAAAATGCTTATATCAATGACAATTTTGA